AAGGCACCCTCCAAGAGCTTAGGGTTCAGGGTTTATAGGGTTGAGGGCTCAGGATGAAGGGTTTAGGAGGTTAAGGTTTAGGGACACTTTTACACCTTCTTCTTATTGGGGGGTCCTGGTTTAGGGCGGGGGAGGGAGAGACCTTAGCCCTAAACCATAAACCCTAAACCACTTGGGTCATCCCAATGCTTCTTTTCCCGGCCTCGTCGTCTCGTAAGCACGGTGCGATCCGGGCGCCGGAGTGTTGCTGCATGGCCCGGAAGACGTTCCTGGGTTGCTCGAAGGAACGTTGAGGATTTTGATTTTGAGTAGGGTTTTGGGTTTAGGGTTTAGGGCTTAGGGTTTAGGGTTTAAGGTTGAAAATTTCAGAGACGGGTGTGGGGGAAATTGTAAGTAACGGGGATGGTTAAGGGGGCTTACGGGACGACTTCGACACGTTCCCTTTACACTGTACACCCTAAACCCCTAAGCCCCTAAACCCCTAAACCCCTAAACCCCTGCGCCCTTAAACCGAAACCCTTGAACCCCTAAAAACCCCTGAGCCTAAACCACCTAAACCCCTAAACTCTTTCAAAACCCCTAAACCCCCTAAAACCCCTAAACCCCAACAAAACCCCCCAACAAAAAACCCAAACACCCTCAAAAAGCCCTAAACCCCCTAAGCCCCTAAACAGCAACCCAGATTCTTGTAAAGCTGGGACATGTTGACCTGCAGGTCGCCGGCAACGGACCTAAACTTCCTTTGAACCTCCCTAGACGCGCTGAACTCCCGAAAGACCTAAGCCCTAAACCCGAAACCCCAAGCCCTAAACCTTAAACCCTAAACCCTAAACCCTAAACCCTAAACCCTAAACCCTGAACCCTGAACCCTGAACCCGAGACATCCTAACCCCCCCCCCCCCCCCCCCCCCAAACTCATCCAAGCGCTCGGGCCTGGCGCCCCGTGTCCTGGGAGTAGCTGCCGCTCAGCTCGGCCGCCTCGGTGTAGGTCCACCTCCCATCGCCATCCAGATCCAAGGAACTGAAGCCAGTGCTTAAGATCACCTTCCGGTGCGCTAGGGCTCAGGGTTTAGGGTTTAAGGGTTTAAGGGGACTTAAGCAGTGTTTAGGGGTTGCTACTGCTGTGCCACTGCAGCAAACCTGAGCACAACCCCCTCCCTGAACCCGAAAACCCCCGAAAAGAATCCCCGAACGCCAATTCTGAAGACTCTTAACTACTAAACCCTTACCCTTCTTTGAGGATCGCACGCCTCGTCAGGTGTGCAGGAAACGAGGCTCGTGTTGTGATGCGACCAACAAACGCCCGGCTCATCAACTGCACCTCAAGAGGGACACACCAAATCAAATTCTGAAGCCGTTGTCTTGTTGGGATAATCCGAAAAATCCTATTTCTATTCCTTATTGTGTTTAAGTGCCCTTAAAAGCTAAAATGTCACCTCACTATGACAAATTTGTGGGGTTTGTGCTTTCAGGGGTCTGTTGGGGCGTTGCTCAGCCGGGGTGCCGGGGACGCCAAACAGCTGCGCCATGCGCTCGCCATGATAACCAAGGGTTTGTCCTTGGATTTAAACGGGGGACCTCTGCGGCGCGTCTGAGAACTTGGGGTTCAAAGATCTGTGCGGTTTTGGGGCTTAGGGTTTAGTTTAGGGTTTAGTTTGTTTAGTTTAGGGTTTAGTTTAGGGTTTATAGGGTTGGTGGTGAACGGCTTTTGGGCGAACATGCACGCGGCGATGTCCAAGCTTAGGCTTGGCGCTAGGCCTCAGACCTGAAGCTTATTAAGGCTTCAGGTTTATGGGTTTACGTAAGGCTTCGTTTGGAAGCGTGGCTCGTCCGGCTACTTCTAGACTCTGTCCCAAAACGCATGTTCAGGTAATGCACGGAGCATGACAGTGTCAAACTTACGGTCTCGCAGTTCTTTGCTTCCGTTGTGAAAGTGAAATTGGGAATTTGGGTTCCCTATATGTCCCTACGTAGCCCCTTGCAGGATTCGATCCGTTTCCACGCCGACCCCCTCCCCCGAAGCCCTTATAAGAGATCCGAGCCCTGTGGAGGCCAGGGCGCGCCACAGCAGGTACACAACCGCGCTTTGAACAAAGTAGTTCACCAGGAGCAGCAGCATCCCCTGCCAAAAGGGCGCGTTCTGCTCTGTCATGATCTTTGCATGTCTTAGGGTTTAGGGATTAGGGTTTAAGGTTTAGGGTTTAGGGTTTAGGGTTTAGGGTTTAGGGTTTAGGGTTGGAATAGGGTTTATAGGGCTTATAGGGTTTAGGGTTTATAGGGTTTAGGGTTGAGGGTTGAGGGTTGAGGGTTTAGGGCTTAGGGTTTAGGGTATATATGCATGTGGCCCAAGAGCTCATATGAAGCTCCAACAAGTACAGCACAGCCGACCATGAAGCGGCGAGCTGCGTTTCCGATCACGCGCTTGGTGATCAGCTGCATCAGAAAGGCGTTCTCATACGCAGAGTTGGCCAACGTCAGCGTCCTGGAGCATGTTTGAAACAAGAACACGTTCTCACAAGCTTGCATGTTCACAAAAGAATGGTGAGAAGAATCAAAAGGGATGTAAGCCTAAACCTTGAATCATGAATCCTTAAATCGGGCGCCCCCCCACCCCCCTTGAACGAAAAAACGCATCCTGTACCCAGAGACTTCACGGCGAGTGGTGGTGCTCAGCATCGACCTCCTGGTGAGCCGGGTGACTGTGTGACCTGCATGGCTTCGTGCGCAGGGTTAGGGTTCAGGGCCCCCCCAACCACATCAAAACCAAAAAAACCCTCATCCCTCTAAGCCTCTAAACATCTCTAAACCCAAACCCTGAAGCTCTATATCCCAAAAAACGCTGAAACCCTCAACACACCAAAAAGAGATCTGAACCCGACAACAAACCCCTAAGACGCAAAAACCCTCAACTCCAAAGCCCTAAGAAACCCTAAAGCCTTAAACCCCCCTTTTAGCCCCCATTCTTTTGAGGCCCGAAACCTAAACCCTAAACCCCACACCCCAAACCCTAAACCCTAAACCCCAAACCCTAAGCCCCAAACCCTAAACCCCAAGCCCCAAACCCTAAACCCTAAACCCTAAACCCCACACCCTAAACCCTAAACCCCAAACCCCAAACCCCAAACCCTAAACCCCAAACCCTAAACCCTTGGGCACCTCCCGAGGTGCCGCCGGAGGCCCTCGAGGCCCTGGAGGCCTTCGAGGCCTTGGAGGCCTTGGAGGGACGGGCGCAGGGCGGCTCCGCGTCCACCTCTCAGGGGGGCTTGTTTGAGGGGGTTTAGGGTTGGGGTTTAGGGTTTAGGGTTTCGGGTTTAGGGTTTAGGATTTAGGGTTTAGGGTTTAGGGCTTAGGGTTTTGGGGTGTTTTGGTTTGGGGTTTGTGGTTTCAGGATTGCGGTTTTGGCTTGTAGGGTTTACGGCTTAGGGTTAAGGGTTTGGCGTTTCAAGTTTGAGGTTGAGAGTCTAGGGTTTAGGGTTTCAAGGATTTTGGTTTGGGTTAGAGTTTAATTAGGGTTTAGGAATGATGGTTTGAGGGATTTTGGTTTTGGGTTAGCGCTTAGCTTTAGGGTTTAGGGCTTCAGGAATGTTGGGCTTGGGTTGCAAGGTTTTTTTGCAGCTTAAGGCGTTTAGGGGTTTTGTTTCCGTAGGCGTTTCAGCATTTTGGAGTTTTTGAGGTTTTGCCTCGTTGGGCTTAGGGTTTTATCGCTTAGGGTGGGGGACGGTCGTAAGGTAAAGGGGTTTGGAGCTTAGCCTTTCAGGGGGCGAAGCTTTGCAGGTTTTACAGTCTCAGGTGTTTTTTCGCACCACTTCCACACGGCCAACCTAGGGGTTTTAGGGTATGGGGCAAGGCTTCAGGGCTTGTGGGCAACTATCCCTGGTCTCTGAGCCCCACATCCCCCAAACATCCCCATTCCCCTGAAATCCTAAACCCCAAGCGCTAAACCCTAAACCCTAGACCCCTAGACCCCTAGACCCCTAAACCCCTAAACCCCTAAACCCCTAAACCCCTAAACCCCTAAACCCCTAAACCCCTAAACCCCTAAACCCCTAAACCCCTAAACCCCTAAACCCCTAAACCCTAAACCCGAAACCCTCAACCCCAAAACCCCCTAAACCCTAAACCCCGAAACCCCTCAACCCCCAAACCCCCTAAACCCCTCAACCCGAAACCCTAAACCCCTCAACCCCTCAAACCCCCAAAACCCCTCCCCCCACATTCACTTCGAACACGACGGGCTCCGACTGCTCATCGTCCTCCACTTCCATGGCTTCCCGGAGCAGAAACGCTGCCACTTTGGGGAAGGGCTGAAGGGTTCATAAGGGTTAGGGCTTAAGGTTTAAGGTTTAATTTGGGGTTTAGGGTTTAGGGCTTAGGGCTTGGGGGTTTCGGGGCTTGGGGGCTTGGGGCTTGGGTTTGGGGCCCCTTAAATCCCAAAGATACATCCCGAAGCCTTGTAAGTCTTTGGGCTCGAGTGCCGGACTAAGACGCTCTGAAATAAAACAATCTCAGCTCATGATCTCCCTCGGAACGGCTTAGAGTTCAGGGTTTGGGGTTTTGTAGGCTTAGGGGTTTAGGGGCGTGGTGTCTCTTGGCCTTGATAGCGCTAAACTTTTGAGCCGCAGAACCCACGGGCGCCATTTCTTCCAAAGGGGCTCGTGTGACCTCAGGCTATCAAAGCCCAACCATGCAGGTGTCAGGGGTAGCGGGGGTTTCGGGGTTTGACCAAAACCCTAGGCTCCTAGACCCCAAACCCAAACTCCTCAAACCAGAGACTAGACGACGTTGTCGTGGTCGTGGTTGTTGTGGTTGCGGTAGGGCTTTGGGGTTCAAGGGCTCGTTGTCGCCAGCTGGTTTTGGCCAGGTCCGAGGTCTGGTGTTGCGGGCTAGGGAGATGATGCCGCTTCAAGAGGCACGCAATTGTCGGGGGTTAACAGATGTACATGGCTGGCGGCGGGTTTATGGAGATATGCGGGCATGCGCGTCCATCTGTCTCACCTTTTTTACTGCAGCCTGCGACTTTGCATGTTGGGCCAAGCGCCATGGCTGGGCACCTCTTCGAAGCCGCGGCTGCAATAGCAGCGCCGCGCCCTGCAGTTCCTCTTGAGGACCGTCAAGGACGTGTCGGCGAACGTCCAGCCGCGCTCTGCGGCTGAAGCCTCGCCTGCGGCGATGAGCAGTTTGCCGAGCCCTCGTCCCTGATGCTCCCAATCCACCTTCACGCAACCAATGGTCAGGAGCGTGGGACTCTCTTCTTCTCTCACGCAGTGGACGTAGCCAGCAAGATTACCTGTCCCCTTCTCCACGGCTGCGAGTGTGAATTGGTTGCGTTGGCCAATAATCTTCTTCTCGATGACTCGATAGTACGCATCATTGTCAAATTCCCCAACGCCAACTTGTTCGCACCAGTCATGTGGCGACATCGCTGGCTAGCACGGCGCTTTGATGAAGAGCTCGCAGCGGTCAAACACAAGCTCTTTCTCCTTACAGCAAGAATGGGTGGCTGGCGGCTCCTTTTCTGGTCGAGGGTGTAGGTTCAGGGTGAGGGTGTAGGCATCATGAAGCAAGCACGTGGAGCATGAATCCTGAAGTAGCAGCGCAACTGCAAACCCTGCACCGCATGCCCCCAGATCCCAAAACTCCCTTTCCCGAGATTGGCCCTAGACATCCTCTGAAAAAATGTCGAACACAGTGCTCTTTCACCCAGTGTAGAAAAATTTGAATATCACAAGGGCCTGCCTAGGTTTTCCTGGAGCCACGATTCAGAGCGCCTCATTGTTCTGGCTGCGCTTGCAGGAGGAACGCAAACGAAGTACGACTCGCTCTCCCAGATGATTTCCACTTGGCTTAGACCCCACAGAAAGCTTAGGAATTTGACAGTATCCTGCTCTTTGTTTCAAAGGGCTTATAAGGGAACCTAACTGGAAGGCGGGCCCAGTCTGGACCAAGTGACCTTGCTGGATAGTCTCGAACACCTCATCGACGTTCTCGAACATCCAAAGGACCCATGGTCTCCTTTTCTGGCCGTAAGGGCACACCTCCTTGTCACTGTCATCGCCGGCGCATCGTCTCTCCCAACCCAGCCAGCAAACGCACGGCCTCGGCGTGGCCGGAGCTGATGGCATAGCGGATGGCTGTTTGGCCCCATTGGTCGCGAAAGTTCAGGCTCACGCCCCTGGATGGACTCCGCCATTAGTCCTCCCTCGGCCGCTTGACCTCAGCCCAGGGAAGAAATTGGACAGGCAAAGATATTTTTGCAAAAAGATCTTGCGGGTATCCAGGACAATCTCTGCAAGCACATTTGCCGCAACATTATCAATTAGCTGGAATGGGTGCTTTCCTACTGCTGTAGGAAAGGGAGCTTCAGTCTAGAGAGTCTGAAGCGGTCATATCTTGGGGCACCAGAGGCGCGGAAACCAGCTGCGGAATCCTGAGGTTTATTGTTAGTGGGATCCTTACGTGGGTTCGCGTTTTCCTTCAGCGTTCCCTGGTTTTTGGCACCCACGAAAAGATCCTACAACATTTTGTTCACTTGTATGTTACTTACCACATAAAGATCCTACGATTTTGCTCCCGCCAAGAATCCCCTGCCTAGTGGCGACGCAGGCAAGGCACGGCGCAGTCATGATACCCCTAAAATGAGCCCCGACACACTAACAAGAGATGCCCACGCTTGCATGTAGACGAGATAGCTCCTTCCTGGAAACGGGGGAAGGAACAACATTTTGCGCCCCGCCTCGTCCCATTTCTTGACCGAGTCCAACCAAGTTAATCCGGGTCTTGTGGAGCTGCTGGATGGCACCTTGGCCAGGGCTAAGCTTGATGCAGAATTTGAGTAACCCGACCTAAACCCTAAAAACTGAACGCAAACCCTGAAAACTTTCTAAAAGATGCAAGCATCTTCCTCGCACGTGGCGACCCTCTCGACGGCCTGTGTTGCTACTTCTGCTTCTGCTTCTTCTTCTTCTTCTTCTTCTTCTTCTTCTTCTGCTTCTTCTTCTTCTTCTGCTTTTTCTTCTTCTTCTTCGTCTTGTTCTTCTTCTTTTTATAGTTGCTGTTGCTGTTGCTGTTGCTGTCGCTGTCGCTGTCGCTGTCGCTGTTGCTGTTGCTGTCGACGTGGCCTCGACCTTCTTCAGGGCCTTTCTTTTGGCGAAGTGGCGTTTCCACGCCTCGGCTTGAGCTTTGGGAGAGCGTGGGTGGGATTTTAGGGTTTCGGGTTTAAGGGCTTAGGGCTTAGGGTTTAGGGTTCAGGGTTCAGAGTTGAGGGCATGTCACGGGATTCTGTTATGACCGCTACGCTACAGTTGCCCGCCCAACTTGTAGCACCAGCTCGAGTTATTCATAAAACTCCAAGTAGTCAACAAACCCTCACTCTTAAACCACAAGTAAGTTTCAACAACTTCAATCCGCCCTAAACCCTCAACCCTAAACCCTAAACCCTCAACCCTCAACCCTAAACCCTAGAACCTAAACCCTAAACCCGATTTGTTTTGAGTTGCAGGGCTCTGGGATTGTGGAGGTTCAGGGCTTAGGTTTCTTGGAGGCTTACGGTATAGGACGTTTGAGGTTTAGGATTTTTGTGTGTTTAGGACTCAGCTTAAAGGTCTCAAGCTTTGTTCTACGGCGCTAGCGGATCTTTAGGCAGGTATCAGTGGCCCTCCCGAGCCCCTCAGGACCCTACGCCTGACGTCTTGTCGAGCCAGCGCGCTTGCAGCTCCTCCAGAGTGTACGGACCCGAGCACCAGGACATTTCAGCTTGATTCTGCAGGCCCTCAATGGCCCCGGAGCCCTAAACCCGCAAAAGACATTTAAAGCAACAACACGGCTTTAACAGAAGCAATGGTGTCAACCCTGAACCCTAAACCCTAAACCCAACAACCCTAAACCCTAAACCCAACAACCCTCAACCCTAAACCCCTAAACCGTAAACCCTAAACCGTAAACCCTAAACCCTAAACCCTAAACCTTAAACCTAAAACCCTAAACCCTAAACCCTAAACCCTAAACCCGAATGAATTCGGCCCCAGGAGCTGCGGATGGGGCTTAAGGGGCCTTGGTTGCTGGCTACTGGCGAGTAAGGTGCTGGGCTCAGGACACGTTTAGGGTTTAGGGTTTAGGGTTTAGGGTTTAGGGTTTAGGGTTTAGGGTTTAGGGTTTAGGGTTTAGGGTTTAGGGTTTAGGGTTTAGGGTTTAGGGTTTAGGGTAAGTTTAGGCTTTAGGTGTTGCGTGCTACGGCAGGTTTGGGTTTCTATTTGGGTTTTAAAAAGCTTTACTGTTGGAGGGTGGCTTGGGGTTAAGGGTATAGGGCATGTTTTGCAGCAAAGGCTTGTGAGGTCGAAAGAACCATTTTGCCCTAAGCCCGAAGCCCTGGACAACTCTGACATTCCTTGCCTGCCACTTCGGTGGCGGGGATTCCTCAACAGCTGGGGGTTTCGAAACAAAGCAACGGCAGAGAGAGGCATGCCAAGCGTTGATCAAACGACTGTCGTTGCTGAGAGTACGGGCACACCAATGTGAGAAGCACTTTTTGAGGTTGAGTCATTCCACGTGCTTGTGCGCAAACTGTCGTCTTCGAGATTCAGGAGTGCTTGCACAAACCGGTCCTCCCATGTTGAGGGGCATGCATAGGTTCAAAGAACTCTCTTCTTTGCAAACATTTTTTCACCCTAAACCCTAAGCATGCCAAGCGTTTGCGAAAAAAACAACTTTCGTTTTGAGGTTGCGACCATAACGGACCGCGCTTTGCTGTGGGTTTCTAGGGCCCCGCAGGGCCCTCCGCTTGGACGAAAACACTCCCTAAAGCATTGGTCGCGGTGTCTTGGTGCTCTGCTATCTTCTGCTGGTGGCCCCCCGAGAGATTCCAGCCTTGGACGTGCCCCAAAGACACTACGGTCACTGCCCACGAAAGGACCCTTCAACATCTTTACGGCGTGTTATGTCGCTTGGATCGATAGACTGGTAGCCAAAACCTTCGAACCTTTTCAGCTTGTTTTCGCAGGAGGTGTTCCGGAAGCCTGGTGCAAGTATGACCGCAATCAACAAACCCCGGATGCATCATCGCAGCTACGTCTTAACACCACCTGGCAGACCGTTTGCCCGAGCCGTACAATTCAAGGTTGGCAGGGAGGTATTGAAGCCCTAACACATCTTGAGCATCAGGGAGCCGTGCCAAGGGCCCGGGGGAGGGCCCCGGAGCCTCAACGAGCTTGAGAGCCTGTACAAATTCCGTACTAGCTTTTCGCGTGGAACTTGCAAGTTTGAAACCCAAAAGTGAGCACCATCAACGGCCTTCGGGACCCTCGCTGATGCTCATGACACTCGCATGGGGGGCCTCCAGGAACCAAGGTGGGAATTGGCAGCCTTCAATCTCCCCGTGTTAAAAATCCCGGACCCAGCAAACTTTGGCGGATCGGTGCTGGGGCGAATATCGCGCCTGTGGACGATGCTTCTCAGGGGGGTGCGAGGCCGGGAGGGGGATCAAGCCAAGGAAAGACCAACCCAAAACTTGCAACTTTGGAGCACGCCGCAGCCGCTGCCGCTCATGATGCACGCGCCCGGGGGGACTTTTCAGTCATTTCAAGGGCTCTGTAGAGGAAAGCTCGGGGTGGCGGAGAACAGGTTTCAACAGAACCAAAGGAAAGGTGAAGAGCTTCCCAAGAAGCCCCGAAGCACCAAGTCCTGAAGGGAACCCTACAGTCCCTACACCCTAAACCTCAGCGCTTGCGGACGCAGGATCTTCAAGGACCTCCAAAGAAAGCTCAACCTCCAAAACAGCCCGCCTCCACTGGCTCCGCAACATCTTCCATTGGATCCTGCAGCGTGGATTGAGTTTCGGGTTTTAGGTTTGTGGTTTAGGGCTGAGGGGGCCGGGGGCATTGGCGTGCATTGGAGCAGTTAAACACCCTTTATGAGGAGGGAGGCGTGGGAGGGCGGGGAGGGGGGGGGGGGGGGCGCAGCAAGGGAGGGCAGGGGAAGCGGGGGGCGGGGGGCGAGGGGGGCGCAGGCAGCAGCGAAAGGTTCAAGGTTTAGGGTTTAGGGTTTACGGTTGAGGGTAGACGATCTAGGGTTTGGGGTTGGTTAGGGCTTCGGGCTTAGGGTGGAGAACTTAAAGGCTACCCCCTAGATTTTGTGAATGTTGTTTGTGCCCGGGGGGGGGGGGCATTTTTTGGGTGGGAAGAGATTAAGTACACTCTCCGCCCCAAGGTACCCCCTCCGATACTAGCGCGTTCAAATTGGGTGCCATGTAAACAGGACCTTTAACTCGAGTCAAACCCTAAACCCTAAGAACTACGCCCTAAACCCCCAAACGGTGCTGAAACCTTCGGACGTGGTTCGCTGCATTCAGGACCCCCAAGCTTGCCACACGCGGCGGCTTCCTTATTGGGGCTCAGGGTACCCTAAAACAACGACAGCCCCTAACTCTCAAGAACCCTAACACGCCTATCTTCCCAAGCCCTAAGCACATAAACCCTCAACCCTACACCAAACCCTTCACCGTAAACAGAAAACTTTAAACCCGGTAAATGCTGAAACCGTCAAACACACACCGTGACAAACCGAACTCATAAAACACTAAAGACACAAACCCGAAGAAGGACCGAAAACCCCCTAAGTGCAAAATCCTAAAGGCCCAAACCCTAAACTCCTAGTCCCAAAGCCCTAACGACCTAAACCCTAAACCCTGGAACTTCCCCAAACCCGAAACAATAAACCGTAAAACTCTGAGCCCCACAGCACACCCCAGACCTTGAGCCGAAACCCAAAACTCTAAACCCTAGACCGTGCCAGCTTCCTCTGGGTTTCGGGCTTGCAAGGCCTATAGGGTTTTAGGGTTTAGGGTTTTTCGGGTTTTGAAAGTTTTGGGGGTTTACAGGGTCTTGGGCTAGGGCTCAGGGTTCCTGGCGCTTAGGGCTCTCAGAGTTGGGGGCCCTCAGCCCTTCAGAAGGGTCTCAAAGTTCAAGCATTCACTAGGCTAGCAGCTTTTCAAGAGCCCGAAAAGTACCCACCCACCCAGAGAATCCCCTACCATTAAGATAATTTGTCCTTGAGCCCGAAATCCTAGAGCTATTCAAATGACCCAAAAGCAAGTCCCCCTTTTCGGGCCGAGAATGGGGGGTTGCTGGGGGAAATATATGACTAATATGACCTTGACCGGGCCATGTATTTAGCGGGCAAGGTCATATATTTAGCGGGCAAGAACTACTCATTCATCTGTATAAGAGGCTGAAATGGAGGAGTGCGCATTTTTCATTGCGGGCACTGGCAAATCCTGGGGTCCCCCTTTTTTAAAGGGCTTGTAGACTTTTGAGAACTTTCGGTGGCTCTTGGGGGCTTCCTGGGGCTGTTTAGGGTTTAGGGGTTCGAGGGCGAGCGTTTTCGGTTTTAGGTGTTAGGTTGTGCCAGGCTTGAGTTCTTTAGGGGCTTCTGGACCTTGTGAGGTTCCTAAGGTCTACAGGGCTTACAGGGCTTATGGGGCATACAGGGTTCATAGGGCTTCTCGGGTTTGTAGGGTTTACAGGCGACGCTTCAAATGCCCACTCCCTGCGGCCTCCGTGAAGTGCTCGCCATGCTCCTTGGAGGATGGCAGGTGGGGAGTTTAGGGTTTAGAGTTTAAGGTTTTACGGGGTATGGAGGGTACAGGGTTTGTAGGGTTGATAGAGGGGCTTGTAGGGGTTTATTGGGTTCAGAGGGTTTTTCGGGCTTGTTAAGTTTTAGGAAGGGTTTCGGGTGGCTTGGGGATCTGATTTGGGGGCTCCAGCAGTTTTTTGGTTTAGGTCTTTTGGTTGGATTTTGGGGGGTTTTTTTGGGCATTTTGGGTGTTGTTGAGTATCATTCTTGCGGCGAGATGAGGCTCCGCGCATCCCAAAGTCTAACGAGTTCGTGCTCCCAAAAGTCTCGAGTACTCAAGTTATCGGCCTGTGAAACAACCTTATGTGCGCAGGGGCTAAACTCCCCTTAAACACCCTACTGCAAGACTCTAGCAGCTGAAAGCTCCTCCTAAACAAAATTGAGACCAAGAAACGCATGACGGCCGGCTTGCCATGGATGACGGCCGGCTTGCCATGGCGGAAACAAGATCTTGCGTGAGCCATAGGCCACAGACGTCACATACATATACAAAACTGTAAAAACGAAATAAGACCGAGTTGTTCCTGTGTTCAGGCATGCCCTAACCCTAAAGCCCCAACCCTGAATGAGATCCCCAAAGCCCGAACACCAACCCTGCCTGCAAAAATCGCAGCCTGAGGTGCTGCATGCATACTTGTGATTGCGATGGACTAAATTGCGAGTATCCTTGAGAGCCCCGAAGTCAAACCTCCTAAACAAACTATACATCTACAACAGCCTAGCTGGCACCTGCACTTGCATGAATGAATGCAAGCCAACAATGCTCTCCATATGACAAACACTCGAGAACAATGATGAATGATTCTCTGACTGTTTTCCGTGGGGAGCTTCGCTGTTGCTCTCCAATACGGGGAGTTGCCCTCTAATTCGGGGAGCTAGCATGTGTTGCAGCATGTCATCCAGCCGCAGAAGCCCCAGAAGCCCACCTATGCTTCTGAGAGGTAGGTATCCTGTTGCCCCCCTTTTCCCCCAAACAAAAGCTGGGCACAACCCCCCTTTTTTCGTGGCTGGAGCATAGCAGCCGATGCACTCACTGACCTGCGGGCTCAGGTTTTGGGTTGGGGGTTGTCGTCGGCTTGTGACATCGGGAATGGCGGTTTTGGTCCTTGTGCACACTGTCACACTGCATTGACATCGAAACTCAGAAAAGGAGGGCGTGCGCGAACTTTTGTTTTAACAGGGGGCGGAGGGGGATTATTCTTTGTGTCGGCTTGGGGGAGGAAAGGGAAGAAGACTATCATCATACCTCAGCCAGAAAACACGTGGGAAGCGCAGGGGGCGGCCCCGGTGGGAGAGCGGTGATTATTGTTATTGTTCGGGCGAGGAAACAACACATGAGGTCCCTTGACCTCTCTTCCACAACCTGAGACACGCATCCCTCAATCCAACTTAGGATGCAGCTTCAAATCGTCCTGCGACCTGTGCGAGTCCCAAAGAAAGACAACCCAAAGCAGTGTGCGCTCCTCAAATTGCAACTGCCCCGCGGAACCTAAACCTCAGCATTGCTGTCTCTCTGTGTCTCTCTCTTTCTCGCTCTCTCGCTCGCTCGCGCTCTCATCCGCAATACAGTCTTCATACCCGTGCCATACCTTTTCCACAAAGCACAACCCTGAACGACAAACCCGAAACCCTCAACCTCCGGCCCGAAACACTGAACCCCAAACCTCAGGCGTTTGGCTGGAGTGAGGTGAGGCGGACGAGTTGTTTGCCTGCATCACGTTGGCCCTTTCTCAACCCATCTACAGGATGGCAAGCTCACTTCGACCGTCACAACCCAGGACTCAAGCCGCTTGGATCTAAACCCCAAGCCTCAACCCTCCAGACCCCAGCCTCGACCGGTGGCACCTCGCAACCTCCAACTGGCCTAGCGTAGGGGTTTAGCAACCTTCGGGGAGACTGGTTCCAAGTGGGAAAACCAGATAGTCGAGGTCCACTGGATCACATGTACCACACGTCATGTTGGAGCATGGGGTCCAGGAAATGATGCAGGGCTACACATCTATGTCGCCCCCTGTGTGGGATTTTGTTTTTTGGTGCAGGACCTCACTTGAGTAGGGGCGGGAATCAAGAGAGATTGCCTCCCATTCCTATGGTCAGGAAGTTGGCTTTCCCACTGATGTTCCTGCCACACTGAAGCCCTCGCAAAGAAGAAACAAGCAACTGCAATCAGCAACTGCCAGGGGCTGCACCACCAGGAGGCAGGTGGGTGGCTGCCTGAGGCGTAGAGTTGAGCTACTTCAAACTGAAACCGCCATGTAGAGGAGCGTTTTTTCGGGCTCAACCCAGCACGCGAAGGTTGGACCATGCCAGAAGGCGCCTCATTATCTGCAAATTCGCTCAACGTTTTGCACGGAAAGGGGCCAACATGGATAGATGCTACGAGAGTAGAGAACCTCTAAATGGATCAGCATCCTGGAGCTGACCAGGAACTAGGTGCCCAAGGAACACAGTTAGGCTTAGGCGTCAGAGAGGCCCTTACAGAACGCAGTCTCAATCAGATGTGCCCCCTTCTACACTGTGCTCTCATGGTGCTTTGTACTGGTAGCGGGTACAGCTTTATGTTTGGTAGTTTAAGGTGCAGGCGGGAACACGATGTCACTGACTGGAACTTAACGCCAGTGCTTTCTTTTCTGGAAATGCATTACCTATGCACCGTCTGCATGTGCATGACCCAGGAACTGGCTATGGTTTGCACACTCGATTCCCCTGAATGCCCGATTCGCTGGTGTGACGACTGTGACGCCTCCGTCTGTCCAAGAAGTCCGACCGCCACGGCGTATCCTTTCTTCGTCTTCTTGAGGTCTTCAGCCAAGGCGGGTCCTCCCTTGATGCCAACCAGCGCGTAGCCGGCTCTGAATGACAGACCTCCGATACTTGCATGGCAGATCGGATTAGAGGCTATACAGTTTCTACAGGTGCAGCTACCGCAGCGCGTTGCTGAGGGCTTTGCCGTCGATCATAGTTGCTCCGCAGGTTTTGATCGCCGTTTTCGCCGTGTCTGTAAGATTGATTGAAGCCTCCATGTCAGGCAACATGTCTTCCACTATTTCCACAATGCATCTGTGCATAGATTCCTGCCTCGCCAAGCGCCCCGATCAAAACCATAGTCCCATCATCAATGTTATTGATGTGCACGGCCAGCGCATCAGAACCGGCTTTCATGGTGTCAAAGGTCGCCTCAGCCATGTTTCGGATGTCTGCATGGGTCCATGTGCTCCACACTGCTCCCGGAGGGCTCTGTATCAAGACAAGCTTCTGAATCTATGAGGGTTCCATCCGGCTGCACAGTGACCACAGTCAATCCACGACCCGGCCTCAATAGCAACCAGGCTTCTTGCAATTTTCGAACACATTGCTTCAAGATGCTACACGCTTCTAGCAGGCATGGGAGTAGAGTCCCGGCTTTGTACGGGCATTGGAAGCCCCATGACAGATCTTCAAGGACACGCTTCTCAGTCAAAGAGCGCAGAGTAGATCGCACCGTTTGCGAAGAAAATGGCTTCATTGCCATCTGCCCAACCAGCACTTCGCCTAAGTAAGGGCCACGTCACATTGAGCGTGCTCGTCACGCCACGGACAACTAACAAGGCCGAATGAATTGGTGTCAGACAAAAGGCCTACGTGCCCGTGTCTCACCACGCCATGTCACACACCAACGTGTGCCACGCCGTCTGCAGCGGCTCTGCAGCAGTCATTTTCGTCGGTACTTCTCACGCTCCTGAGAATACATCTGGCATGGCGCGTGGCAGGCACAAAGAATGTTGCGACAGTTGCGCCATTCTTGGGAACGACTCGATTCGCCGACATATGCAGACAAGAGACCACATACTGTCACGTTTCAGGATCATGCCTGAAGGACACTTCAGCATGGCACCTGGGCAAAAACATAGAGAGAAACGACCGCGTCGCGACGGCAGTGAGTGGCCTTTGACACCTTGATAGACTCCGAAATTGAAACGAAATTAAGACGGAAATATACCATCCACAATGCCCCCGCTCTGGCCCCTAAAAACAAAACTAACCCAAACCCTAAACCCCTAAAACCCTAGACCCAAGCCCTGAAGAAGCAATGGACCAAATGGCCTTAGGGTTTGTAGGTTTGCGGTGTTCAGGGCCTGTAGGTTTCTAGGGCTGGTACCTATAGGGTTGTAGGGCTAGAGCTTTGGGGTTTATCGGGTTGAGGGCACTTTTGTCATTGTTGGGCCCTAGCTTCCTTTTTGTACACACGTATCCAACCCTCAAGAGGGCACCGTTACTATGATATAGGGTTTAGGGTTTAGGGTTACTGGGTGACCAACACTCAGAGACTCTACGGCCGTTGAGCTGCGAGGCTCTTGGGGTCATTCTCACGGGGGGATCAAAGGGAGATGGGGCTGCGGGGCGTGGCGTGTGAGGCTTAATCACACTCATATTGCAAGGGCCCCACTCCTTTCTCTTCTTTTGCGGGGCCAGCGGTATTCAATATATATATATATATATATATATATTACTATTCAGAGCCTTTTCGCTCTTACGTTTATGATCTTTGCAGTCCAAAAGCTCACTAAACTAATTTCGTTCAATTTCGGTGGTTTAATTCCGTCTTAATTTCGTTTCAGTTTCGATGGTTTAATTCCGTCTTAATGTCGTTTCAATTTCGATGGGTAATTTCGTTTCAATTTCGATGGTTTAATCGCGTCCGCGCAGTTTGCCAACGAAATGAAGCCGAAATGTACGCAACATAATCCGGGCGCAATCATGGCAACGAAATGAAGACGAAGTGAACGGAAAGAACAACAGGGCTTCTTTCTAAACTTGATATGTAAGACAAAAAGAAGAACTGGGGACCACTAGTAGCCGAAGATGTTTCGCGGCATTTAGGCCAATTTTGGGCGTTCTTTTTTCCTGCTGTGGGAGAAGAATACAACTTTTCTCCCACAGCTACGAGCTATACCCGGGCACAGTTCGTACCACAAAGAAATGTTTTGGCGCGAGCTATTAAAGCGCTCCCCAAACCCTAAACCCTAAACCCCCTTACCTGCATACTGGGCTCTAAAAAGTGTACCCTCAACCCGATAAACCCCCAAGCCCTGACCCTAAAAGCCTGTAAGTGCCAGCCCTAAACCCCTACAGGCCCTGAACCCCGCAAACCTACAAACCCAAAAGCCATTTGGTCCATTGCTTCTTCAGGGCTTAGGCTCTACGGGGTGTAGGGGTTTGGGGGGACTGAAAAGGTGCTGGCAGCACACATCATCAAACCCCCCCTGTGCAGCGCTGCTCTCATGCTACGCCACGCATATTGCAGCACCTGTGCAGCGCTGCTATTCAACCCCCAGCACTTCTGCCGTGCTGCCGATCTACTGGTCCAGCCACAGGACTTCTGTAGCGCTGCTACTCGTCAAACGTTGGCTTGTGCAGAATGTGCAGGCAAGAGCCCTTAAATTGAAAAATTCTTTCTCTTGGAAGGCTCTGCGGAACTCTCTGCGGGAAGCCCACCTGCCTCTCTATTTCGAAGGTCTGGGAGTCGGCGCAGGAAGTTGTAGGAGCAGAGTGCTACTGCGCAGGAGTTGTTTCCACACCGCCCCCTCCCCCCGCCCTCCCCGAACAAGAGGTTCGATCACATTGCGCGGCTTGGAATGCCCAAAAACAATTTTTAAGGCTCAAAAAAAACTCAGTTTCGATCTATGTCCCTGAGAAGGCCCTCCAAAGCAAAGCCAAGCCTACGTACTACATGCTCCCGAACCTTGGAGCAGCACACTTCCAAGGCCCCAGCCAGAAGGAGCCGCCTCACAAAATCAAGAGTCGGAAAAAACATCCCACCAAAAGCTGAGGGCCCTGTGTCCAAAGGGTCTCATGGCTTGGGGCGTCGGGGCTCAGTGCTGCTTGTGCAGAATTCGAGCTTCATCCCAAGCTGTCTGGGCTCGTCTTGGGCATTTGTCTTACACGTTACCATCAGACACCGCTTTCAAGCTATCCACAGCAAGGATTAAAACGGTGGCTAGCGACGCGAGGATTTAAACTGCTGCCACTTGCAGCATGGGGCGATAGGGTTTAGATTTATAAGCTCCTTGAGAAGCGCTACAGACCCTCGTACTTTCAAGTTTTCCTCTTTTAGTTGCTTCTGACCGTTTGAGGTGGGGAGCTTCGCTGCTGCTCTCCAATACGGGGAGCTGCTCTCTAATTCGGGGAGCTAGCATGTGTTGCAGCATGTCATCCAAGGTGCAAAAGCCCAAGCAGATCCAAGCATCAGCCGCGACAGCCGCGCAATCTCCCACCTATGTTTCTGAGGCATCCTGTTGCCCCCCATTTTTCCCCCAAACAAAAGCTGGGAACAACCCCCCTCCCTTCGTGGCTGGAGCATAGCAGCCGAAGATTCTCCGAAAACCAATGCACTCACTCCCAAAAAATCGGAACTGACGGAAAACCCATACGAGATTTTCAGAGCATTGCTGAGTTGTCCGAGCACATTGGGGGCGTTGCGGAGGCTAGGAGAGCTCCGAAAACGAATGCGGAAAGTCTTATGATTGCAAGCTTGCCCCATTGAAATTGAGAGTTTACTGCTTTTTGGGAAAGGGCCTTGCAGCAGCGGTTCTAGGCGCCAAGTGTCATGTGGTATTACTCACACTTGCGCCGCCCATTGTTGTGAAGACCAAGTTCATACAAGTACAGGATAAGGGTTACTCGAGGTACGCAGTACATTGATGAGGTCCTGGATGAAGTTTAGGCTTCACAAGGGTCCTGCCAGAGCCCGGATTTCGGATGACAGCTGCATGCGGCTTCCATGGTATGCTTGGCGGAGTAGCCTGACAGCACGGCCCCCGCGGCCAAGCTTCAGGGGGAACGGCGATTGGCCGGGAATAAGAATTTGGGTGTCTTGGACTTCAAGGCGGTGCCAGATCCAGATTCTACAGAGGCCTTTGTTTGCAAGCTCCGTATTGACTTCGATCCATTCAGGTCCGACGTCTATGTTGGAAGAGGTGAAACGGAGCAGGCGGCCAAAGATGCGGCGGCCGAGGCCTTCCGAAACACGGAGAAAGCTCAAGAGGTTGCTCGGAGCTTTGACCGACGCCCGGTACCTCCACAAAGAATGCGGAACCAGACGAGAATTTCTGACGAAAAATGCATTTGGCATGCTCCGAATTGCATGTGGGATCGTGGTTTGTCGCAAAGCACCAATCTACATATTTTTTGGACTTGGTTTTGATCTGTTTGCATGCTGTAACGAAACACAGACAACCCAATAGACATGGACGCCCGCCGGCTGCGCGAATGCAACTTGCCAGCGCCTCTCGTATTTTAAGTCGCATTGTTGTTTCACGCGTTTTCCCTTTCTCCACAATCTTACTGTTTGGAGTCTTCGCCGGCATAATCCAGATCTTGTAAACGAATCCCCATGCTCGGATTAGAGGGTCGTGCATAGCCGCTCGAAAGAAATGGTGCACTCAAAACAGCTTGAGACATCATCATCAGCAGCTTTGTGGACCAACCAGGTGGTTTTTGGGAAACAGGCAAGGGCCAGTGCAGACGAAAGAAAGTTGAGGGCGTGGGGGCTCCATCATCCTGCTACTGGCCGAGGATATGGTCTAGAGCCAAAGAAAGCCCAACATTCGTGCCGCAGCCGCTCTCGGATCACTAGGATGGGTTGCCCTTATAACACCCCTAAACATCCTTCATGAGGGCAGTAAGTCGGGTAAGCATCTCCGCAACAAAAACACATCTCAGTCGCACCCAAATACCTCTGCTTGAGTATCAGCCCTCAACCGCAAACTCAAGTTGCAGACTTGAAACCCTAACCCTGCAAACCCTAACCTTAATCGCTGCACAACAAAGCCTAAACCACACGGCAAACCCCAAACCAAAACCCTAAATCCTATTGCCATGCAAAATGGGAGTTTCTCAAACATGGGATACTGTGAAAAACTTAAAGTGCGTGGGTATCCTACTATTATGATTCTAGGGCACCCATGAAAAAGGGTTGTGTATAGTAAAGATCGTCTTGAGAAACTCCCGAGTCCTGGACCGCGCAGCATGCCAGGTGCGCAAGCTGGCACGGTTAGGGTTTGTAGTGGGTTTACATGCAAACTCCCGAAAAGGATGAACCAAAAGCAGGTATTTTAAGATACAGTGGTGGTCAAACACTGCTACGCACTCCAGATCCTCCAGAAGCTGAGGGGAACCCAAACCCTACGCCTTGCTTTGCGAGGCACCCGCCGTGCGAGCCGCAAACCGGCTGAGACGTCTGGGCCTTATTGTGCGGCGAGGCGTGGAAGTTTTGGGTTTCGGGTTTCGTGTTGACAAGCCGCTCTGTCACTACATCATGTTGACGTTCTCCGAAGAAGTTCAAGAGGCAAATGCCATGAGGACCGAGTTTTGTGAATCTACACCCGAGCTGCATGCATCCGAAGATAAATGTTTGATGCCGTTGATGCCGTTCCGGATGGGCAGTTAAATGGTGAGTTCGCTAAATCAGAGTCCCTTTTGCGGTACCCCAAATGTCTAAATATAAAAGGCCGCCGTATAATACCGACCCCAAAAGGGACCACAATTTAGAGTGTGAGCAAATTGGAATGTGTCATGCGGGGGCATGGCTCAGCGGTCTTTCGGAGCGACCAAGCATTGTACCCGACCCGTGGGCTTGACCCAATGCCGGTCTAAACCCTAAACCCTAAACCCTAAACCCTAAACCCTAAACCCTAAACCCTGAACCCTGAACCCTAAACCCTAAACCTTGAACCCTAAACTCTATGAGGCACACAAG